GCCCAGGCCCAGAGTTCAGGCCCCACGACTGGACCCAAAAAAAAAAAAGAGTTTCTCTGTCTTTCCTGCCCTGGCTGCCCTTATGTTTTTGGTCAGTCGTGGGGCTTGAACCCTGGGCTTGGGCACTGTCCCTGCGCTCTTCAGCTCAAGGCGAGCACTCTACCATTTGAGCCACAGCTCCACTTCCAGTCTTCTAGTGGTTTATTGGAGATAAGAGTCATACGGACTTTTCCTGCCCAGGCTGGCTTTGAACCATGATCCTCAGATCTCAGCCTCCTGAGTGGCTAGGATTATAGGGGTGAGCCACTGGCACCCAGTCCCTGGCTGCCTATGAACCACAATCTTCAGATCTTAGTCTCCTGAGCAGCTAGGATTACAGGTTTGAGCCACTGGTGGTGGGCTTCAGTTTTTACTTTTAAAATGCATAGAAAGGTCAGGACAATTATTACTTAGTGGAAAGGTCACAGTGGGTAGCCCTGGGGTGGATTTACTCTGCCTTTCTTATTTAGATCTCTTTTTATTTTTTTCCCCTCTTCCAAATGTGCTCCAGCAAGCACTGAGTGACATGTTTTCCCTCTTGTTTAGCAGGGTGGCCATGTAGGCCAAGGACAGGCCCCCCACACCATGTAGGCCAAGGACAGGCCCCCCACACCCAGCCTCACTTGGCTGGGTACAGCCTTTTGTGTGACATCGGCTGCATTTTCTGAATGTGGCTTCTAATCATTAGAGTCACTGAAGTCATGTGTTAAAAACCAGATTCCCAGGTGCCTCGTGAGTCCGGCCAGATTGTATTCCACAGGGGAAAATCTGCCGGCTGTGTTTCCAGGTCATTGCAGAGAAGGGCCAGGGTGCCTGTCATCTCCCTTCTTCCCCTGTCCTCCTCATGCGCCCCAAAGGATCTCTTGCTGTGTGTGAGCAGCCCCGCTTCCCAGCACCCCACAGTTATACCCACACATACAACAGAAGAGGGTTTGTGGGGCAATACTGAGGTTTGAACTCAGGACTTCACACTTGCTAGAGCAGGCACTCTACAGCTGAGCTATACTTTAGCTCTTTTTTTGTAGTGCTTATTTGGAGATTGGATCTTTTTTTTCCCCCACATGTGTGCTTTGGTTACGGTCCTTTTATGCTCACTGTTGTTGCTAGGAAACTGTTGTCCCACCATGCCCAGCTTCTTGAGCCATTGAAATGGAGTCTCTTGAACTTTTCTGCCTGGACTAGCCTGGAACTGTGGTCCTTCTGACCTTAGCCCCTGGGGTGGCTGGGATAGAGAAGCACACCACTGCGCTCTTCAAGATCCACGGCACTCTGCTTTTGGTTGACTCTTGGTCTTGCAAACTTTTGTATTTTGATGGTACTGAGATTTGAACTCAGTGCCTTACGATTACTCAGTTTGTTTGCTTGATTGGTGCTTTACCCCTTGAGTCAAGCTGTCAGCTCTGCTTTTGGCCCTTTGCTGGTTATTTTGGAGATGAAGCCTCACAGAGGTTGTTTTGCCCTAGCTGGCTTTAAATGTGATCCTCTTGATCTTAGCCTCCCAGGTAGCTAGGATTACAGGAGTGAACTTGCACACATGTAGTTTGTAAGCTCACCTCCTATGCTTTCCTCTAGCTGCACAAATCCCTTTTGGCGATTGCTGCAGTTTCTCTGTGGCTGGTTCCCAGGCTCCGAGTTTTACCCAGGCTCCTTTGGTCTGTGTGATTGGTCCATGGATATTCCAGCCCCCCTCTCCTCCCCACCCCCCGGAATTCCCACATGCCCTGAGTGGAATGCAGGAGGGGGAGGGGGAGGCTGTGTCAGCACCAGCCCTGCCTCCCCCAGGCACCCTTTTCCTGTCTTTTAATCAGAGAGGCTGCCACCTCCCCTGGGGCGGTTTCCCAGTCCACCCTTGGCCACATGGTTTCCACAGAGTCATCTGGTGGTCACCTTGGAGTGACCAAGTGATGTAAGATGGGAGTGTGTGGATGATGGAGGAATTTTTCATTGTTTCCTTCTGCTGATCCTCAGATGGCAGGAACGCCAGGGCCCCTCCCAATAATCCCCTCCTGTGGGTGCCTTGCAGGTTGAAACATGATTCCCGTGACAGAGCTCCGCTACTTTGCGGACACGCAGCCCGCTTACCGGATCCTGAAGCCGTGGTGGGACGTGTTCACCGACTACATCTCCATTGTCATGCTCATGATCGCTGTCTTTGGTGGGACGCTGCAGGTCACACAGGACAAGATGATCTGCCTGCCTTGTAAATGGGTCACCAGGGACTCCTGCAATGACTCATTCCGGGGCTGGGCAGCCCCTAGTCCAGAGCCCACCTATCCCAACTCCACAATCCTGCCAAGCCCCGACACAGGTCCCACGGGCATCAAGTACGACCTGGACCGCCACCAGTACAACTACGTGGACGCTGTGTGCTATGAGAACCGCCTGCACTGGTTTGCCAAGTACTTCCCCTACCTCGTACTGCTGCACACGCTCATCTTCCTGGCCTGTAGCAACTTCTGGTTCAAGTTCCCACGCACCAGCTCAAAGCTAGAGCACTTTGTGTCTATCCTACTCAAGTGCTTTGATTCGCCTTGGACCACGAGGGCCCTGTCCGAGACCGTGGTGGAGGAGAGCGACCCCAAGCCAGCCTTCAGCAAGATGAACGGTTCCATGGACAAGAAGTCCTCGACCGTGAGCGAGGACGTGGAGGCCACCGTGCCCATGCTTCAGCGGACCAAGTCGAGGATTGAGCAGGGCATCGTGGACCGCTCTGAGACGGGTGTGCTGGACAAGAAGGAGGGGGAGCAGGCCAAGGCACTGTTTGAGAAGGTGAAGAAGTTCCGGACGCACGTGGAGGAGGGCGACATCGTGTACCGCCTGTACATGCGGCAGACCATCATCAAAGTGATCAAGTTCATCCTCATCATCTGCTATACTGTCTACTACGTGCACAACATCAAGTTTGACGTGGACTGCACCGTGGACATCGAGAGCCTGACGGGCTACCGCACCTACCGCTGCGCCCATCCTCTGGCCACACTCTTCAAGATCCTAGCGTCCTTCTACATCAGCCTGGTCATCTTCTACGGCCTCATCTGCATGTACACACTGTGGTGGATGCTGCGGCGCTCGCTCAAGAAGTACTCGTTTGAGTCGATCCGGGAGGAGAGCAGCTATAGCGACATCCCCGATGTCAAGAACGACTTCGCCTTCATGCTGCACCTCATCGACCAGTACGACCCACTCTACTCCAAGCGCTTCGCCGTCTTCCTGTCAGAAGTGAGTGAGAACAAGCTGCGGCAGCTGAACCTCAACAACGAGTGGACCTTGGACAAGCTGCGGCAGCGGCTCACCAAGAACGCCCAGGACAAGCTGGAGCTGCACCTGTTCATGCTCAGCGGTATCCCTGACACTGTGTTCGACCTGGTCGAGCTGGAGGTCCTGAAGCTGGAGCTCATCCCCGACGTGACCATCCCACCCAGCATTGCCCAGCTCACGGGCCTCAAGGAGCTGTGGCTGTACCACACGGCTGCTAAGATCGAGGCTCCGGCCCTGGCCTTCCTTCGGGAGAACCTGCGGGCATTGCACATCAAGTTCACCGATATCAAGGAGATCCCACTGTGGATCTACAGCCTCAAGACGCTAGAGGAACTGCACCTGACGGGCAACCTGAGTGCGGAGAACAACCGCTACATCGTCATTGACGGGCTGCGGGAGCTCAAGCGCCTCAAGGTGCTACGGCTCAAGAGCAACCTGAGCAAGCTGCCCCAGGTGGTCACGGACGTGGGTGTGCACCTGCAGAAGCTGTCCATCAACAACGAGGGCACCAAGCTCATCGTCCTCAACAGCCTCAAGAAGATGGTGAACCTGACCGAGCTGGAGCTGATCCGCTGCGACCTGGAGCGCATCCCCCACTCCATCTTCAGCCTGCACAACCTGCAGGAGATCGACCTCAAGGACAACAACCTGAAGACCATTGAGGAGATCATCAGCTTCCAGCACCTGCACCGTCTCACCTGCCTTAAGCTGTGGTACAACCACATCGCCTACATCCCCATCCAGATCGGCAACCTTACCAACCTGGAGCGCCTCTATCTAAACCGCAACAAGATTGAGAAGATCCCCACCCAGCTCTTCTACTGCCGCAAGCTGCGCTACCTGGACCTCAGCCACAACAACCTGACCTTCCTCCCCGCTGACATCGGCCTCCTGCAGAACCTCCAGAATCTGGCTGTCACAGCCAATCGGGTGAGTGGCCCGCACACAGCAGAGCCCAGGGGCCCAGTGTCTCAGAATAGAGAGGATTTGATTGTAGTCCTCACCCGGAACCCGGTGCTTTTTTCAGTTTCAGACTCCCAGATCCCAGGGCTGGGAAGGTGGCTCAGTGGTAGAGCACTTGCCTTGCATGCCTGAGGCCTTGGGTTCGATTCCCCAGCACCACATAAGCAAAAAGAAAAAAGCTGGAAGTGGCACTATGGCTCAAGTGGTAGAGCGCTAGCCTTGAGCTGAAGAGCTGAGGGACAGCGCTTAGACCCAGAGTTCAGGCCCCACGACCGGACACAAAAACAAACAAACAAAAAACAGACTCCCAGATCCCATCCCAGATGGGCCGAACGAGAATCTTATCCCTGGGGTAGGAACCTGCCTGTGTCACAGAGTGCTATGGATTTCTCAGCAGAGGTGGTGTGGGTGGGCCAGGTGTATCCCCAAGGTGACCTTGAGCCCAGTTCCTCTTGGGCAGCAGGTACAAGACCCAGGCTTCTCTCTCAGGGCTTTGGGGGGGGGGGCGGCAGGGAGAGGCAGGACTTAGCTTGGAGCTTGTTTCCTCCCTCAGTTTGGATTGGAAGCCAAGGGGCCCATCTGGGTTCTGTCCCTATGGCCTGAGCTGGCTGAGGTAAAGGCAGAGCCCCCTCCATCTCCCGGCATCCCTCACTCCCCCTAGCCCTCCCTGTCTGGACAGTGATGGGCAGAGATGGCCTGAGATGGTTGCTGGCTTGTCACCACCTGCCTTCCCAGGGGAAACTGTAGGCAGGAAGATCACGGCAGGCTGGCATGGAGGAAGACACTCGGTCTATTGGGGGTCATCATGTGCTAGTAGCGTTCCTGGCTCACTTGGGTGAGGCGGAGGGGCTCCTGCAGCTCTGTGGCGTGCCCTCTGCCGTGGAGACCACACAGGCCCTGGGTGCTCCCCCTGCCCACTGCTGGAGGAGCTTCAGGGATGAGGAAGCATGAAGCAGTAGCCCCTGGTGCTGTGGACCCTGTGACATCCCCCTTCCCCTCCCCCAGGAGCTCCCAGTAGCCTCAGGCCCTGTGTGCCCCTCCTGGGCTCCAGCATGGCTCCAGCCCGTCCAGTCCTTCTCTAGCATTAATGAGGCTGGAAGGCCTCAGTCCACCAACACTACAAGCCTCTGTCCCCAAGCCTCCCTCTGCAGACCAGGACAGAGTGCAACAGATCCTCCCTCCCTCCCCCAGCCAGCACTCCTCTGACCTTGAAGCCTGTTCAAGGACAAGGATCCATCTCAGACTGGGTAGACTTGCCCCTTCTCGAATGCCAGGAGGGGACACTGAGTGGCTGACACTGAGGAGCAGTAGGATCTGTGGGTCCATTGAGCAGGGAGATGGGAATTCCGAGGGGGAAGAGCTACATTGGAGAAGCTGGGTAGACTTGCCCCTTTTCAAATGCCAGGAGGGGACACAGAGTGGCTCCTGGTGGCACACAGCTGGAGCCCAGTTGCCCAGGGATTGAGTCAGAATCCTACCAGTCCCCAGTCTCCAGACACCTGCTCAGCCCAGGTACCAGGCTGGGCTTTGCTGCTGGAGGGTGTAGTGGGGCCCATCCCCCTCCTTCCCCAGGTCCTCACTCAGGGCTTGCCTGTTAGTGTCGTGCTTGTTGGCTGAGGTCACCCCTCAGGAAAGGCACTGGCAGGTCCAGCTGTTCTGGAGGAAGGAGACCCTCGACACCCTGTTTAGCACACCGCTTAATCACATCCTGTCCCCGCCCACAGGAGCACCCCAGGCCTTTAGAGGGAAAAAGTCTGCTTGGGCTGATTGTGGGCAGGCAGCGCCCGACACCCGCCCCCCCCCACACACACACCTTGTAGGCCACAGGCCTGGCTTCTTGTCAGCCATCCTAGACTGTGGCGGAAAGGGAGGGGCCGGTGCGGCCTGGCTGTAGACCTGGGGTCCTGAGTTTTCCGGGTTCACACTCAAGCTAATGAATGCTTCCATATGGCGGGTGTCCCTTCCTCCTGATCTGGCTCACGCTTCCGAGAGCTCCCAAAGTCCAGCTGTGCTGGAGGTGCCCAGGCTCTGGATAACGGAGGCCCACCGGACGCAAGCCTTAGCCCTCTGTCCTGAGCCTCTCACAGAGAGGAGGGAGGAAGGGCGTGTCACCTGTCCCTGGAGGGAGGGCTGGACAGCAGGCTGAAATGAGCTGCCCCTGGAATGTGGACTTTCCCCCAAGGACAGAGGACAGAGACAGGGCTGCGCTCAGGGTCCGAAGGAGGCTCCTGTCTGTTTCAGTGTGGCTGGACACCTTGCCAGCCCATAAACTGATGCCCGCCAGCAGCGTGGCTCTTTTGTCCAGTGCCTAACAAATAGCAGTGTTCCCAGAAGGCTGAGTGATTGCAGGGCTGAAGGATGGAGTGACTCACCATTTAGCAAGGTTACTTTTTGTGTGGTTTTGCTCTGGGGCGCTGGGAATCAAACCCAAGGCCTCACATGTGCTAAGTATGCACCACAGTACCACTAACCTGTACCTGCAGCATGAAGCAAGGTTTTGTTTGTTTCTCCTAGGGTTTAAACTCAGGGCCTGGTGCTTGTTAGACAAGTGCTCTACCACTTCAGCCATCCATGTCTCAAACCTTGAGAGACATGTTTCTACTGTTTCTGCCACCAGGGGTAAGGCCAACAGTGAGGAGGGAGCGAGGCCTCAACTGGCCAAGGCTGCTGGGGACAGAAATGTGGCTGGATTTGGAATGGGGCCCATGGGTGGCCAGGGAGTCTTGCTAGGTGAAGGGTCATTGGAAGAGGGGTGAATGTATGGCCGCACTGAGTCGTCTTCATCCTCTCCACGCTTGTGAGTGAAGAGGGTCCTTCACACGATCACCCAGGCATTGGACAAGGTAGAGGAGGAAGGTCTAGCTGTGACTCGGGGTGAAAGACCAAAAGGGGTATAACTGCTGACAGCCACACAGTCAAGGTGGACAGAAGGACAGCAGCAAGGTTATGGTGGGATCATTCCAGATGGTGGATCGAACACCTGCTAGACCAAGGCCATTTCAGCACTGATGGAGGACTCCAGGGCTTTCTGAGGGGGACACTGGGAGATGACTGTAGGCTGTCAGTGGACAGGGACACTTGTGCAAGAAGGGACAGGTAGGCCATGGTGGGAGCCACACTACTGAGTGGGGGACAAGCTATCGGCAAAGGCAGCTTGGTTTGGGGAAGGGGAACCTTCTGGGAGAGATCTAGAGCCAGGCTGACGTCCTGTACATCTCAGCTCTGTGGTATTGGGGTCCAAGGCTGCAAAAAGGTCCTGAGGGGTGTTGAAGCTAAGGGGAAAACTGAGGCCCGAGAGGGGAGGAGGGGCCTCCAGGATCTGGCAGACTAGGGATTGGGCTGAGTGAAGAAGGAAGGCTTGTCTCCTGTCCTGACTTGCCTTTGTCTGTCCAGGCCTCGGTCTTCTCAGCAGGGAGATGGAGGCCGTGCCAGCGGCCCTCCGAGTGGCCGCTGCTCAGCCTCACCACTGTCCCCGTGTGGGAGTGAGGCCAGGCTTCCTGCTCTGAGGCTGTAGAATAGTCTCTCCCTGTGCACAGGGGGCAGGGAGGAGGTGGCACCCCTAGTGCTCTTCCTAGATGCCACAGCCACGGCCTGGATGTCCCTACTCCAGCCCCATCATTTGCCCCTCATTCTACCATTGGTGCGGCCACTCAGCCAGGTTCAAGTCCTGGCACCACCACTACCTGCTGAGCCTCTGGGCACCTCAGCTTCTGTGGCCTCCATGGCCCATTACGAAGTGGGGAGAGCTGGCAGAGCACGTACAGGGGCCTTTGGAGTGAGAGTGGACATGGCAAAGCCAGTGCTTACTATGCAGCGAGTGCTGCCTCTTATTCCCAGTCGGCCAAATCAGGAGGGGCGTCGGCCGCTGCTCAGCTCCCACATAACACCTGCAGCCATCTGTGCTCACCCTATGCACAGGTGAGGGAAGCCAGGCCCCAAAGGGGCAGCGCTGGCACCCCTGCCACTCAGGGAGCTGACCCCGCTTCTCACAAGGAGCTTCCAGAAATGGTTCTTAGCTCGGTGCCAGTGGCTCACGCCTATGATCCTAGCTACTCAGGAGGCTGAGGATTGCAGTTCAAAGCCAACCCAGGCAGGAAAGTCCCAGAGATGCTTATCTCCAATTAATCACCAAAAAATTGGAACTGGAAGTTAGGCATGTCGAAGCCAAGGGGAAAACTGAGGCCCGAGAGGGGAGGAGGGGCCTCCAGGATCTGGCAGACTAGAGATTGGCTGAGTGAAGAAGGAAGGCTTGTCTCCTGTCCTGACTTGTTCAGAGACAGTGGCCAGACCCTGAGTTCAAGCCCCAGGACTGTCACAAAAATAAATCATAGAGTGGGGCTGGGAAGGTGGCTCAGTGGTAGCGTGCTTGACTTGCATGCATGAGGCCCTAGGTTCAATTCCTCAGCACCACATAAGCAGAAAAAGCTGGAAGTGGTGCTGTGGCTCAAGTGGTAGAGCATTAGCTGTGAGCTGAAGAGCTGAGGGACAGCGCCCAGGCCCAGAGTTCAGGCCCCACAACTGGCCAAAAAAAAAAAAAATAATGTTTAAGCCAGACAGGACCAAAGAGCCTGGCCCCTTGTGAGCCCTCAGAGTCAGACCAGTATTGAGGAGGTGGTAGTTGCCAGTGTGGTACCCCTCAGAGTGCCAGGTGCTGGGAGCCTGCAGACCCACCTTGACCTCTTAGAACCTGAAGGCCCAATGATTCGTAGTATGAGTAGGAATGTGGGGGGCTGTGAGCCCCAGCATTAGTGGTATGAGTGGGAATGTGGGAAGCTGTGGGTCCCCGGAGGTCAGGAAGGCTTCCTGGAGGAAGTGTCTACAGGAATGGGACCTAATGAACAGACCCTGGCCCAGATTATACCAGTGCCAGGCTCCCAAAGGGCTGGAGTGGGGACCAGAGAAGGTATGGGAGGAAGGGGAGCCCCGAGGCCCCACCCCAGCCACACACACAGCTCACCAGGCCCTCTGGCTCCTCCCGCAGATCGAGGCGCTCCCTCCAGAGCTCTTCCAGTGCCGGAAGCTGCGGGCCCTGCACCTGGGCAACAACGTGCTGCAGTCCCTGCCCTCGCGGGTGGGTGAGCTGACCAACCTGACACAGATCGAGCTGCGGGGCAACAGGCTGGAGTGCCTGCCCGTGGAGCTGGGCGAGTGCCCTCTGCTCAAGCGCAGTGGCCTGGTGGTGGAGGAGGACTTGTTCAACACGCTGCCGCCCGAGGTGAAGGAGCGGCTCTGGAGGGCCGACAAGGAGCAGGCCTGAGCAGGGCATCCGCCAGCTAACAGCGGGACCCCCTCCACGCCCACCCCGGCCAGCAGCCAGGCCCCTCCAGGGCTCCTCTGGACAGCAGCCCAAGTTCAGCAGGCAGAGCGGGGGGGCCGGGCATGAGCCAGGCCAGGTGAGAAGACAGTGTCTGAGGGGCTGGCCCCTCCTGCCCGGCGGGGCAGGCGCCCAGCTCAGGGCACCTATGTGGACAATCAGGGTCTCCACCCTGGGGGCATCTCTGTCTGGGATCAGAGGCCATGCCGGCGCCAGCAGCCCAGGGACTGGAACTCATTAGCTCTTGGTATTTATTTCCCTCCACCTCCCTCCTCTTCCTTCTAGATCACACACATTCCCACGAAAACTCAGCTCTGTCTCTGAGCAGGCCAGTGTTTCCCCTCTTCCCTTTGGGGTGATACCCACAGAAGTGGGTGCCCACTCACACTTGGTTGAGTGGTGGAGGATGAGCAGCTGCAAGGGCCCCAGGCCGGGCTCTGGTGTTGGAGCGGAGAGCGCAGAGCCCGTTGCAGGGTAGCAGGGCTGGGCCTGGGTCCTGCTCGATCAGTTCTTGTGACAGTTTTAGATTTTTAATTAAAAACAACAACAACAACATTTTTTTAAGCTTTGAAAATGGATGGTTTGGGTATTAAAAAGAAAAGAAAAAAACGACACTAAAGGCCAGTGAGTTGGAGTCTGGGGCGGGGTGCAGTTTCCTGTCAGCTCAGCATTGAATTGTATTTCCTGTCTCAGGCCAGGGCCCAGGCTGTCTTCCCAATCTGGCGTGACCTTGGTCCCCAAGTTCTGTTTGTTCCTCATCTCTCCTGGGATGGGAACTTCATTTTTGTTTTTGTGTTTTTAGTTTTTTGGGGGGGTGTCTTTTCTTTCTCTTCCATGGGTCTTGGCAGGCACTTATTTTTCGTGACTGTCAGCCTGAGGGAATGTTCTGGAGCTGCCAAGAAGGGAGGAGACTGGGGTTGGTTTGCAGAAGGAATGGTGCTCCATCCTCCCCTTACTCCTCTCCCTTCCTTGCTGCCCTCTCTTCCCCCCCCCCGTCCCCCACAGTGTTAAGGAGCCCTGGGGGAGCTGCTTTGCCCAGACTCTGTTTCCCCACCGCTGGCCTAGCCTCCGCTGCTTACACTGGCCCTGTCACCACCGGTCGTTCACGAAGAGCAGAGATTTAGAGGCGGTTGGCCGGGGAGGTCACTGCCAGGAGGGCAGGCTCCCCTGTTCTGGGTCCCAAGCCAGTTTCCTTCCCGGGTGCCTGGTTTGCGCACAGGCCTAGCCAGCGCCTGGTGGCGGGAAGCTACCCTGCTTTAGATCAATCACTTGGGTCCCTACTTTAGAAGGGTCCCCGCCTTAGATCAATCACGTGGACACTAAGGCACATTTTAGCGACTCTTTGTTTTAATAATTATGTTCGTCCGTCTGTCCATTTGTGTTCTCTGCGTCGTGTCATCGGATGTAATCCTCAGCAAAGATGCAACCATGAAGCAATCCGTTACACAAGGGTCTGAACTTGTAGACTCAGTTCAAATATCAAATAAATCTATAACACCACAAAGCCTGTGGGGGTCTCCATGAGGGCTGGGGGCTTCCCTTCTGGCTCTGAAGTCTGCCAGCCCCATTGGCTAGCTGGTTGAGGAACCAGTTCTTGCGTCTCTGGCCCATGACACCTGGAGCTCCTTCGAGGCAGAGGGTGAGAGCTAGACAGAAAACCTCCGTCAGGTGTAGGGCCTGGCCAGGAGCCCACAGCTGGCCATCCCAGTCACCTGTGGTTGGGCCCTCATAAACTTTGATGGGTTAGAGGCCACTGAGGAAGAGCCACAGTTGAAGACCCCATCCCAGCCCAGTCATCCTGTGTGGGAAGCCAGGCAGGACCTTTCCCGTCTGCAGCCTCTGTTTCTCCATCTGTATAAGGGGCATTTCCCACTTCCACTCTTTTTTTTTTTGGTCAATCGTGGGGCTTGAACTCTGGGCCTGGGCGTTGTCTCCGAGTTCTTCAGCTCAAGGTAAGCACTCTACCACTTGAGCCACAGCACCACTTCCAGTTTTCTGGTGGTTAATTGGAGATAAGAATCTCATGGACTTTCTTGCCCAGGCTAGCTTTCAACCACGATCCTCAGATCTCAACCTCCTGAGTAGCTAGGATTACAGGCATGAGCCACCAGTGCTCTGTGGTCCACTTCCACTCTTAATAGCAAGTCCCCAGCTTGTGCAGAGGTGGTTGGGAGTCATTATGGGGAAGCCTGGCCTTTCTTCCCCAGAGTCTGGTTGAAGCCCAGAGGGCCTTCAGATCCTAGGTCTGCCTAATTTTTCAGAGGAGCCTAAATATCAGAATGGAAATGGCAACCGGCAGGCCCATTCCAAGGAGCAGTGCTTGTGGAGCTGCTGCGGTTCCTGGATCACAGCACCTATGCTGGGGCGCCCTGGTGCCTTGAACACTCCTGTACCACTCAGTACCCCTGGCCCTGGGGTAGGTGCTGGAGGAAGGTCTACACTGGCTCAAGTTACAGGCACTGGTAAGTCCAAGATGGGAAATCCAAGATGGATGAGATGCTTCCCCCCACCTCCCCACCCCACCCCCGCCCCAGCTAGTAATTCACTGAAGATTAATTATTCATGAAGATGGGCCCAAGTACCTCCCACTGAGGCCCCACCTCCACAGCCATGCGTGGGAATCCAGCTTCCCATGGTTGGACCTCAGGTACTGCACTCATGCAGTATCCTGTACATAGGAATTTTTAACTGAGGGCCCGTACCCCAGGAACAGCCTCATGTCTCTCCTCCTGCTCCCAGGAGCTTTGTGCGGGCTCAGCACCAGCAAGAGCCTGGGTGAAGAGAAAAACCCGGCCTGTGGCCTTAGGAGACCTGGCTGCTCAGACATGGCCTCCAGCCCAGGCCTCAAGACCTGCCTCTCAGGCCTGAGCCTAGATTCCTTCTATCTTCTGCCCCCAGTCAAGGGGCTGCTGACTGGAGGCTAAACAGCTGGACTGTGGCCCTTTAGAAGACCCCCTTTTTGTATCTCCATTATGGGGGTCTTCTGGCTTGTTGGGTCTGATCCCCTGCCCCTGCCCTTCTGCCACCTCCCCCGCCCCCTCCCCTGGCCTTAGGTCCTTTGCAGCCTGTGTCTGGAACTGGTTAGCTGTTGGAAAAAACAAGGGTGAGGAAACCACCCACCCTCTTCCCAAATGCCCGTGGGAGGAACAAAGAGCAAAAGCTAAGCCACTCCAAACCCCATCCCTCCCCAACCCCTCCGGCCTTTCCCACTGTAGTGGGCTTCTCTCTAGAGACAACCACAAATTGGAAAACTAAAGGAATTTCAATTTTCTTTGAACTTCCCAAATTCAAGTTCCACTTGGGAAGCTCAAAGAATTTAAAAGCCAAATCAAGCCCGGTGCTAGTGGCTCAAGCCTGGTCATCCTAGCTACTCAAGAGGCTAAGGGGCTGGAAGGGGGCTCAGTGGTAGAGCGCTTGCCCTGCTTGCACAAGGCCCTGAGTTTGATCCCTCAGCACCATATAAGCAGAAAAAGCTGGAAGTGGTGCTGTGGCTCAAGTGGTAGAGTACTAGCCTTGAGCTGAAGAGCTGAGGGACAGCATCCAGGCCCAGAGTTCAAGCCCCATGACCGACAGCAAAAAAAAAAAAAAAAAGGCTGAGCTGGGTGCCAGTGGTTCACACCTGTCATCCTAGCTACTCAGGAGGCTAAGACCTGAGGATCACAGTTCAAAGCAGCCTGAGCAGGAAAGTCTGTGAGACTCTTATCTCCAGTAAACCAGAGGTGGTGCTATGGCTCAAGTGGTAGAGCGTTCACCTTGAGCTGAAATGCTGAGGGACAGCGCCCAGGCCTAGAGTTCAAGCCCCACAACTGATTAAAAAAAAAAAAAAAAAAAGGCTGAGCTCTAAGGACTGAGGTTGAATGCCAGTCCAGGCAGAAAAGTCTGTGAGACTTTTATCTTCACATAACTACCCAAAGGTCAGAAGTGGAGCTGTGTGGCTCAATTGGTAGAGCACCAGCCTTGAGCAGAAAAAGCCAAAGGACAGCACCTAGGCCCTGAGTTCCATCCCCAGTACTGGCACAAAGACAACAAAACCTTCCCCCCTCATCATCCCCCCCAGCCATGGGTCAATCAATGGGGAGGGCCTTTCCCGAGGTGTACGCCCAGGCCCAGGTCTTTATCAGCAGTGGACAGCTCTTGTTTACTGTTTAAAGGGCCCTTCTGTTATCTGCATGTGCAGCATCAGAAGGGGCTAGGACTGGAGACATGCCAGGTCCCATGACTCCTCCCCCAGCCTCGTCCTACCAGCCTCAGGAGCCCATTGGGCTCAACCTCCCCCCCCCATCCCGCCAGGCCCTCTGGAAGCCAGGACTTCAGGACAAAGCCGCAGCTCCCAGCTCAGTGGCCTAGAAAACACATGACTTGACTTGGGGCCAAGGCTCTTGAGAGCTCAGCAGTGTCCCCTCCTCATCCCAGAGACGCTCTGTTCCTTGGCCACTCAGAGTGTCGTTTCTGGGAAAGCCAGGGACCAGATTCATAGAGTCCCAGTGCTCGGGCCATTCCAACCCCCTCCCACCCTGCCAGCTGTCTTGAGATGTCCATGTTCTGGAACTGTCTCCCAGGGGCATTTTGAATCCCAGTTCCCTCTTCTTCCTAAAACTGCCCACCTCACCACCTTCCAGAATCTTCCCGAGCTGAAGAGGCCACACCTTTCTCCTCCCAGGCCCTTGTCCCTTTGCCAGGCTGAGCCGCCCAGACTCACCCACACCCACCTTGAAACAACACAGGTTCCTACCCACCCCCTTCTTGGGACTTGAACTCAGGGCCTGGGCATTGTCTCTGAGCTCTTTTTGCTCAAGGCTAGCACCCTACCACTTGAGCCACAGCACCATTTCTGGCTTTTTCTGTGTAGGTGTTACGGAGGAATCGAACCAAGGGCTTCATGCATGCTAGGCAAGCACTCTCCCACTGAGCCACCTTCCCAGCCCTCTTGGCGACATTCTAATGCTTGCTTTCCTCCCTTGGGGGTCCCATGGTGTCCCAGCAGCCCAAACCCTCTTCCTCTAACTCTCCTAGAACTTCGTTGAACCACCAACCAAAAGAAGTTTGTTTCTAGAAAATCTAAAAAGAGTCATTAAATATCCTGAAGAGCTGGGGCAAGGGCTACTCCCGGATTAGATGAGGACTGGTGCCCAGGGCAGAGCTGTGGGTGTCTGTGAGTGGGGTAGGAGTGGGACTGAATATTCTCTGGGTAGGAAAGGGTTAAACCCTCTTGGACCTTCAGCCTACCACTCTTCCCCCTTCCTGAACTTTCTCCTCTCCAGTCCTGGATACCGCTCACCAGCCATGGCCTGCCTGAACCCCTCACAGCTCCAGAAGGTAGCACACGCAGGGTGGAGGCCGGAGGGTTGGTAATGGGCGGGGGAGAGGGGCGCGCACTTCTAGTGGCCTCTGAAACTCATCCTCCTGCCGGTTTACGGAGGCCCACACCCAGTAGGAGTGGGCTCCCAGGCACAAGGCCTAACTTCTACACAGCTCACAGGACCAGCACAGGGCAGAGGTGGTGTGTGTGTGTGTGTGTGTGTGTGTGTGTGTGTGTGTAAATGATCAAAACCAGAATAAAGCATCTGGATGGGCCAGTCCAGCTGGCCTCCTAGGGGAGGTGGTGAGGGTCGGGTCGGGAGGGTGTCCATCCTTCCAGGCTGACCATTAGCCCAAACACAAACGGCTTTAAAATCACCTCCAGATTCCTACCCTGAGCCAGGACTACAAGCTGTAGGCCCTAGTCCTTGCTTCCCACCAGCCCGTGTGGCTGGAAGGGGAGCTCAGTGCTAGAGCACAAGCTCAAGGCCCCGGATGTAATCCACAAATACACAGGAAAACAAAATACCCCACAAAGTCAGCCCTGCCCCCACAGCACCTCCGTTCCCTTGTGTTTTGTTTTGTAGTGTTGTGGGTTGAACCCCGGGTCTCATACAGGCCAGGCAAACACTGTGCCACCTGAGCCACACCGCCAGTCCCTTTTTTTGTTTTGTTTTACATTGGTTATTTTCCAAGTGAGGTCGGCCTTTACCCCAGCCAGCCTGGACGCCATGCTCCTGTGTGTGCTTCCCTGTGTCGCTGGCGTAACGCGTGCAGCCTGCACTCAGTCACTGGCTGAGAGGAGTCCCAGGAGCTTTTGTGCCCTGTCTGGCCTCAAACTGTGATTTCCTTCATCTCTGCTTCCTAATTAGATGCTAGGATTATAGGCTTGAGCTTTACTCTGGGCTTGTTTTGTTGTTGTTTTGGTCAGTTATGGGGCTTGAACTCTGGGCCTGGGCACTGTCCCTCAGTTCTTCAGCTCAAGGCTGGGTGCTCTACCACTTGAGCCACAGCACCACTCCCAGTTTTCTGTTGGAAATAAGAGTCTCACGGCCTTTCCTGGCTGGCTTTGAACCACAATCCTTAAATCTCAGCCTCCTGAGTAGTGAGGAGGATTACAGGTGTGAGCCAACAGTGCCTGCGTGGGTTTTTGTTTTGGTTTCGGTAAGGTATATTAAATAGGTAGGTTTCATTTGGTGGCCGATGAAGAGAACACTACGCGCTATTCAGGCAGAGAAAGTTTATTTTTTTATTTGGTCAGCCGTGGGGCCTGAACTCTGGGCCTGGGCGCTGTCCCTCAGCTCTTCAGCTCAAGGCGAGCGCTCTACCACTCGAGCCACGGCACCACTCCCGGTTTTCTGGTGGTTTATTGGAGATGAGTCTCATGGACTTTCCTGCCTGGGCTGGCTTTGAACCGTGATCCTCAGATCTCAGCCTCCTGAGTAGCTAGGATTACAGGTGTGAGCCACTGGCGCTCGGGTGGAAAAGAAGTTTATTTATCAAACTGCTGTCCCTGCCATGCATGGTGGAGAAGCAAGGCTGAAAAGGAAAAGGGGTGACTCACCCCAGGCCAGGACTTATCTAGGCCAGGGACAGGAAGGGGTGTGGCCAGGTGGGAGGAAGGTGTAGCCACACTGGATCCGGACCTGACCTCAGGGTCTGGGACCCTCTTAAGGTCAGATGGGAGGCTTGTAACCAGAGGTAGCCTAGGATGTGACCTAGCAGGAGGGGAAGGTGACTGCTTCCAGGTCAGCCAGTTACCTAGGTAATAGATACTGGGCAGAAACTTAACCAAGAGGGAGGGAGGTGTCCCTGTGCAGACCTGACAGCTTGTATTTCATTTTTTCTGACAGTTTGTATTTCATTTTTATTACTATAAAGTGTATTAGGAAGACCCCCTACTCAGGCAGCAAGCCCACCTAGTCATCCGGAGTGACAGAGCCCACCGCAACAAAGTTGTTAATAAAGAAGCAACTTTATTGAGAAGGTTCCTACACTGACCGGCCAGGGCCGCAGCACAGGCTTGGGAGCTGATACTGCGAACCTGAGTGCCCCCATTCTTTGGTTTTTAAAGGCGAAATCCATGAGATCGAGCCTGGTCACACGTAGGTGACCAAAAGGGGTCATACCAGACCACACACAGGTAGCCAATAGGCGAAGTTTACCGTAAGCATGTACAAAAGGCAAGATTTAACGTAAGCCCAAGGTGTCACCAGTTGGAGCCAGATTACAACCTATCTGTTTTATGTGTCAGCCCTTAACTGAACAATCAAGGTGGGTTAGGTTGTTAAGGGGAGGGGGACCGAGAGGCATTCTTTCCATTCCAGGAACTGGGCTGGTTGGAGCCAAGGTCTAGGTAACCTTGTTTAAAGGTTTTTTTCTAAAATCCCTAAAACAAAGGCAAAGCCTGGAAAGAAGCTGTACCAGCTCAAGTCTCCTCTCAGGGCCTACTTCTGTTTTTTTTTTTTGGGGGGGTCCGGTCTTGGGGCCTGAACTCTGGGTCTGGGCGTTGTCCCTCAGCTCTTCAGCTCAAGGCTAGCGCTCTACCACTTGAGCCATAGCGCCACTTCCGGCTTTTTTCTTTTTGCTTATGTGGTGCTGAGGAATGGAACCCAGGGCCTCAGGCATGCAAGGCAAGCGCTCTACCACTGAGCCAGCTTCTCAGCCCCAGGGCCTACTTCTAAAGATGATGTGCAAACAGGTTTGTAGTTAACCTAAATCAGTTAAAGAGTATATTTCTTTCTTTCTTTCTTTCTTTCTTTCTTTCTTTCTTTCTTTCTTTCTTTCTTTCTTTCTTTCTTTCTTTCTTTCTTTTTTGTTGTTGTTGTTGGTCGTGGGGCTTGAACTCTGGGCCTGGGCGCTGTCCCTCAGCTCTTCAGCTCAAGGCTAGTGCTCTACCACTTGAGCTACAGCACCACTTCCAGTTTTCTAGTGGTTTATTGGAGATAAGAGTTTCTCGGACTTTTCTGCCCAGGCTGGCTTTGAACCGTGATCCTCAGATCTCAGCCTCCTGAGTAGCTAGGTTTACAGGCATGAGCTACTGGTGCCAGGTTTACATTTCTTTTTGAACAGTATCACCTCTTCCCTTGCTCTGTTTTTTTGTTTTGGAGTCAGGATCTCACTCATGTTGCCTGCACTGGCCTTAAACTCATTTATCTTCCTGCCTCTGCTTCCCAAATACTTGGGATTACAGACATGCACTACTACACCTGTCCATCCAGCCATTGGCCCTGTTTTCTAGAGGCACCTGTGGTTAGCCCTTCGTGATAGTCTAAGAGTCAAGAGAGGAGACTAGCATTCCTCCTGTTATTTATTTATTTATCACCAGTCCTGAGGCTTGAACTCAGCCTGATTACTGTCACTGAGCTTTTTTTGCTCAAGGCTAGCACTCTACCACTTCACAGAATCACTTCTGGCTCTTTCTAGGCGGTACTGAGGAATTGAACCCAGTCTTCACACACACTAGATAAACACTCTACCACTAAGCCACCTTCCTAGCCTTCTCTTTTTTTTTTTTGTCGGTCATGGGGCCTGAACTGTGAGCCTGGGCGCTGTCCCTCAGCTCTTCAGCTCAAGCTAGTGCTCTACTACTTGAGCCACAGCACCATTTCCAGCTTTTTCTGCTTATTTGGTGCTGAGGAATCAAACTCAGGGCCTCATGCATGCGAGACAAGCGCGCTACCACTGAGCCACCTTCCCAGCCCCCCAAGCTTCTTATTTACTAAGTGTAAGGCCAAACTATCTTCCAGGTTTCTGGGCTTTTCCTGAATTCTGCTGTTATTTACCAGATTTTAGTGACCAGATATTTAACTTGTTTATTATTTCATTCTCTAATTTGGGTCTTTATCTCTGGAATTTTCCTTTAATAACTAACCTGGAGTTTCTTTCCACAAAGAGAGCCAGTCAGGCCTTGGTTGCTCAAGCCTGTAATCCTAGCTATTCAGGAGGCTGAGATCTGAAGATCACGATCCAACGCCAGCCTGGGCAGGAAAGTCGGTGAGCCTCTTATCTCCAATAAACCACCAGAAAACCAGGAGTGACCCTGTGGCTCAAGTGGTAGAGTGCTAGCCTTGAACTGAAGAGCTGAGGGACAGCGCCCAGGCCCTGAGTTCAAGCTCCCCAACCACCACCACCACCACCACCAAAAAGAGGTTCTGCCTTAAATGTTTTGCCCTACTTTTAATAATGAATCACTTTGTTCTATCTCTGATTGCACATCTTACACAATGACTAGGATACAGGGGATTCACCTTCAAGCTGCTTCCCAGTTGGGGGGTCAAATGCTGGTCCTAAGGTGGCGGGAAGCCTGAGCCTTGCCCCTGCCCTCAGTTCCAGGAGAATGGGTTCCTGGTGCTGGAAGGGTTCGTGTCTGCAGAAGAGTGCATGGCCATGCAACAGAGGATCAGCGAGATCGTGGCAGAGATGGACGTCCCTCCCCACTGCCGCACTGAGTTTTCTACGCAGGAGGAGGAGCAGCTTCGGGCCCAGGTAGGTGCCTTGGGCAGGTAAGGTGTGTGTGTGTGTGCCTGGCTTTCTTTGGATCTAGGATGGGGTCTCAGGCCCCAGCCTTGCACCCTACCAGGAACTTGTGTGCATTCCTCCTTAGCTCCCCACTCTTAACTTACAAGGGAACCATTATTATTATTATTATTATTTTTGTCGGTTGTGGGGCCTGAACTCTGGGCCTGGGTGCTGTCCCTCAGCTTTTCAGCTCAAGGCGAGCGCTGTACCACTTGAGCCACAGTGCCACTTCTGGCTTTTTCTGCGTATGTGGTGCTGAGGAATCAAACCCAGGGCCTCGTGCATGCAAGGCAAGCGCTCTACCACTGAGCACCTTCCCAGACCCAAGGGAGCCATTATTGCTCCCATTTGACAGGCACAGAAAGTGAGGCTTGGGCCACTTTCCTTAATGACATAATAAATTGTATTATTCAGGATTTAAATTTAACTCTGAGCTGGGTGCTGGTGGCTCACGCCTGAAATCCTAGCTACTCAGGAGGCTGAGATCTGAGTTCAAAGCCAGCCCGGGCAGGAAAGTCCGTGGGACTCTTATCTCCAATAAACCACTAGAAAACCAGAAGTGGTGCTGTGGCTCAAGTAGTCGAGCACTAGCTTTGAGCTGAAGAGCTGAGGGACAGTGCCCAGGCCCAGAGTTAAGCCTCATGACTGAGAAAGAAATAAAATAAAGCCGGATGCCGGGGGCTCATGCCTGTAAGCATAGCTACTCAGGAAGCTGAGATATGAGGATTGTGGTTCAAACCCAGCCCGGGCAGGAAAGTCTGTGAGACTCTTTTTTTTTTTTTAATTAAATTTAATTTAATTTGTGAACATACTGTACAGAGGGGTTACAATTGCATGGGCAGGATAATGTGTACATTTCTTACCAAGCATTGTATCCTCCTCCTTTGTTTACCCTTCACATCCCTTCCCAGCCACCCCCCTCCCCCCCATTAGCGAGACTCTTATCTCCAATAAAAACCACTAGAAAACTGGAAGTGTCGCTGTGGCTCAAGCGATAGAGCGCTCACCTTGAGCTGAAGAGCGCAGGGACAGCACACAAGCCCAGAGTTCAAGCCCCACGACCGACCAAAAAAATAAATAAATTTTTAAAAATAAAATAAAATAAATTTAACTCTGTCAAAAACCAAGTGATGCTGGGCACCGGTGGCTCACGCCTGTAACTACTCAGGAGGCTGAGATCTGAGGATCGCAGTTCAAAGCCAGTCCACGCAGGAAAGTCTGTGAGACTTTTATTTCCAATAAACCAGTCAGAAAACTGGAAGTGGCGCTGTGGCTCAAGTGGTAGAGCGCTTACCTTGAGCTTAAAAGGTGAGGGACAGCGCCCAGGCCCAGAGTTCAATCCCCATGACCGACTTAAAAACCCCAAACAAACCAAGTGATGCTGTGCCTTCTGCCACAGAGGGCCGAGTGAACCTGGTGGTTCTTGTCAGGCTACATGTAGGAACTCCAGGTGTTTCCTGAAACTCAGCACATTTAAAAATGGAGAGGTGAAAGTGGCACTGTGGCTCAGATGGTAGAGAGCTTGCCTTGAGCTGAAGAGCTCTGGTGCGGCTCCCAGGCCCAGAGTTCAAGCCCCAAAACAGACAAAAATAAATAAATAAATAAATGGAGAGGTGATTCTCTCACTTATCCAGTTCTCCTAGTCATAGTCTGGATTTCAGAATAAGCTGTGTCCAAGCCCTGGGGTCACTCACACTGAAACTGAAAAGCTGCTGTCCTCTGGTGGCCAAAAGGGAGAATTACAACTTTAAAAGCCTCACATATAGGAAATAGGAAGATGGAGATGGAGTCTTTCGTTTCTTTTTTCCTGGTATGTTGTAGGGCTTGAACTCAGGGCCTAGGCTCTGTCCCTGAGCTATTTTTGCTCAAGGCGAGCGCTCTATCGCTTGAGCCACAGCGACACTTCCAGTTTTCTAGTGTTTTTTATTCGAGATAAGAGTCTCACAGACTTTCCTGCCTGGGCTGGCTTTGAACCACAATCCTCTTGTACCACAGCACCACTTCTGGTTTTCTGGTGGTTCATTGGAGGTAAGAGACTCATGGGGACTTTTCAGCCTAGGCTGTCTTCAAACTGTGATCCTCAGATCTCAGCCTCTTGAGTGCCTGGCTTTTATTTTCAACTTGTGGTGATTTACATGCAGCACCATCCTAAATTGGGATGCATCTGTAATTAGATATTTCCAAGAAATTTCCTAGCTGCAAGCAGTGCTTCCAAAACTTGGGGTTTCTGTCCACCACCAGTGCCTCACCGGACATGTTTAGGAAGCTTCTGGGGTTTGGAGCCCTGGGGGAGGCAGCTCCTGAGTCTGTTCCTCTCTGCCAGACTCAGCTCTGATCGCCAGATCCTCTCTGTAGTCCCTTTTGGGTCTCCTTCCGCAGGGCAGCACGGACTATTTCTTGAGCAGCGGTGACAAGATTCGTTTCTTCTTTGAGAAAGGCGTTTTTGACAAGAAAGGTTTGTTCCTGGGATCCTAGACACAGGAGTGAGTGGCTATAATGCGGCAGAATTTGGTGTTCCGCCTCCAGGGCTGGGAGAGCGCTGAGCCCAGCTGCCTAGTGGACACCAGACTCCAATTCTTCAGCCTTCATCTCTTCTTGTGTCACAGGCAACTTCGTGGTCCCTCCAGAGAAAGCTGTCAACAAAATTGGCCATGGTGAGCAGGGTCCTGGGGTGTAGTAAAGAAAGTGGCCTGAGGAGACTGAAGATCAAGGTGGAGGGGTTGGAATGTGGCATTTCCAGCTGCAGCTGCCGTCTCACCGTAGTTTTCTTTTTCTTTCTTCCTTTCTTCCTTCCTTCCTTCCTTTCTTTCTTTCTTTCATTTTCACCATAGTTTTCATCTTCTGATGCTAATCCAGTAGTTACTAACCCAGTGCTGGGAGGAGTGCTCCCTTTGAGTGCTCCCCACAGATAGGCCAAAGCCAACTGCACCACTCTATTGCCTGGCTTGGATGAGCAAGAGGGGCTCCTGGATCCATGTTGCTCCACTTCCTGTCTAAGGAGTGGGGAGGTTGGAACTCAGGGCCTGGGTGCTATCCTTTAGCTTTTTTTTTTTTTTTTGTCAGTTATGGGGCTTGAAGTCTGGGCCTGAGTGCCGTCCCTCAGCTCTTCAGTTCAAGGCTAATGCTCTACCACTTTAGCTACAGAACCACTTCCATTTTTCTGGTGGTTTATTATTGGAGATAAGAGTTTCATGGCCTATTCTATCATGGCCTGGGCTGGCTTTGAACCACGATCCTTAGATCTCAGCCTCCTGAGTAGCTAGGATTCCAGGCATGAGCCACCAGCGCCCAGCTTGTCTTTTAGCTTTTTAATTAAAGCTAGTTCTCTACCACTTGAGCCACAGCACCACTTCTGGTTTTCTGGTGGTTAATTGGAGATAAGAGTCTCCTGGAGCTGGGTGCCAGTGGCTCATGCCTGGAATCCTAGCTATTCAGAGGCTGAGATCTGAGGATCATGGTTCAAATCCAGCCTGGACAGGAAAGTCCCTGAAACTCTTATCTCCAATAAACAACCAAAAGTGGCACTGTGGCTCAAGTGGTAGAGAGATCACCTTGAGCTGAATAGCTTAGGGACAGTGCCCAGGCTGAGTTCAAGTCCCACAACCAACAATAACAACAACTACTACAACAACAACAAGAGTCTCATGGAATTTCTTGCCTGTGCTGGCTTTGAACCGCAATCCTTGGATCTGAGTCTCTTAAGAAGGTAGCTAAGATTACAGGCGTGAGCCACCAGTGCCTGGCTGCAGGGCTTTTCTTCTCCCCATTTTACAGAAGAGACTGAGGCTTGCAGGAGAGAAATAGTCCCTCTCTGTGCACACAGAGGAAAGGGGTACACTGAGGTTCTTCTGGAGGGGTCTCTCCCTCTGTGAGGGAGGGAGTCCTCAGTCCTCTGCGATGGACAGGGATTCAGGACTGGAGGACTGACATTCCAGATGTCCAGAAAATCAAAAATAGGATCATGGGTGGGATGGGGCTGGGGTGGGGTGAAGGCATCATGGACCCATGACTTGATCATACACAAGCATGGCTGGGTGCTAGCCCGTGGCTCACACCTATAACCCAACTATTCAGGAGACTGAGATCTGAGGATCACAGTTCAAAGCCTGCTGGGGCAGACAAATCTGAGATTCTTTTTTTTTTTTTTTTTTTCAGTCATTGGGCTTGAACTCTGGGGCTGGGTGCTCTCCCTCAGCTCAAAGATAGCACTCGACCACTTGAGCCACAGTGCCACTTCCAGTTTTCTGATGGCTTATTAAAGATAAGAGTCTCTCCTGGACTGGGAAGATGGCTCAGTGGTAGAGCACTTGCCTTGCATGCCTGACACCCTGGGTTCGATTCCTCAGCACCACATAAGCAAAATGAAAAAAGCCAGAAGTGGCGCTGTGGCTCAAGTGGTAGAGCGCTAGCCTTGAGCTGAAGAGCTGAGGGACAGCGCCCAGGCCCAGAGTTCAGGCCCCATTACCAGACCCCCAAAAAAAGAGTCTCTTCCTGGGCTGGCTTTGAACCTTGATCCTCAGATCTCAGCCTCCTGAATTGCTAGGATTACCGGCGTGAGCCACTGGCACCCAGCTGAGAGATTCTTTTTTTTTTTTTTTTTCGGTCTTGTCTTGGGGCCTGAACTCTGGGCCTGGGCACTGTCCCTCAGCTCTTCAGCTCAAAGCTAGCGCTCTGCCACTTGAGCCACAGCGCCACTTCCGGCTTTTTTCATTTTGCTTATGTGGTGCTGAGGAATTGAACCCAGGGCCTCATGCATGCAAGAAAAGCGCTCTACTACTGAGCCACATTCCCAGCCCATAAACATATCTTTTTTTTTTTTTTGGTCACTCATGGGGCCTGAACTCTGGGCGCTGTCCCTCAGTTCTTTTAGCTCAAGGCTAGTGCTCTACACTTGAGCCACAGCTGGCTTTTTCTGCTTATGTGGTGCTGAGGAATCGAACCCAGGGCCTCATGCATGCAAGGCAAGCACTCTACCACTGAGCCACATTCCCAGCCCTCCACAAGATTCTCATTGCCAATTAATTACTCAGAAAAAGCCTGAAGTAGAGCTGTGGCTGAAGTGGTAGAATGGTAGCCTTAAGCAAAATGAAGCTCTGGGAGCACACCCAGGCCCTGAGTTCAGGCCCCAGGACTGGCAAAAATAAACAAGCATAAAATAAATGAACAAGCAGAAAGCTTAATGTACTCTGCATGGGGACCACATGGTGGGGAGGCCTGAGTGGTCGCTGGGGGCGGGCGGGTACCTGTGGGCCAAGGTGGTCCGACCGTTCACCAGCACACCTCGGTCCTGCAGCTCTCCACGCCCACGACCCTGTCTTCAGGAGTGTCACCCACTCCCCCAAGGTTCAGGTGAGCAGAGGTGGGGACAGGAACAGGAGGGCGGGCTGATGGGGTGGGCCGGCGGCAATGTAACCCTGTCACCTTCCAGGCCTTGGCCAGAAGCTTGGGCCTCCAGATGCCCGTGGTCGTGCAGAGCATGTACATCTTTAAGGTAAGCCCCACATCCACCCCAGGCCTCAGTTTCCCCTCTGGAAGATGGACAGACTGCTCATACAGGCTCAGGGGCCTGGTGCTTAGCTGGTTAAAATTTGATGGTAGATTGCTGGGCACTGGTGGCTCATGCCTGTAATCCTACCTACTCAGGAGGCTGAGATCTGAGGATCGCAGTTCAAAACCAGCCCAGGCAGGAAAGTCCTTGAGACTCTTATCTTCAATAAACCACTCACAAAAAACAGAAGTGGTGCTGTGGCTCAAGTGGTAGAGTACTCGGCTTGAGCTGAAGAGCTGAGGAACAGTGCCAAGGTCCAGAGTTCAAGCCCCACGACCGATGAAAGAAAGAAAGAGAGAAAGAAAGGAAAGAAAGAGAGAGAGAAAGGAAGAAAGAAAGAAAAGAAAGAGAAAGAAAGAAAGCCAGATCCTGGGGAAAGGTGTCTCTGATTGTGACTTCTAGCCCTCACTAGCTTTTGCTTGGAGATTTGTTGGGCAGTGCCTGCTGCCTTGTGTGTAGTCTGCCCCTTCCTGCAGACAGGGAGGTTTTCTCTTCATTCCTCCTGGGCTGGCACACAGGAAGTGCTCAGGAGCTGGGTGTTGGCATGGAACAAGAGTGGCAAGCATCCTGCAGCACTCAGATCCAGCCCTGCTCTTCCCAGACTCCTCTCCTTTCCTCCCTGCTCCAGCCCTCTTCCCATACCCCTCCCCTTCTCCATCCTCAACAAGCCCTTCTCTCTTGCAGCAACCTCACTTTGGCGGCGAAGGTGAGCTGGGAGCAGGCCTTGAGCCCCCAGGAAAGGTGGTGAGATTGGAGTGGTCAGGATGCAGGGGGGCGCCGTCCTCCATCCCCACCGGGGACAGTGGGAGAATGGGAGGGAGTCCTGGAGCCCTTTGGCCCTTGGGCCCGAACTCTGACTGCAGCACTTAGCTGGTTAAAAGTAGATTCCTCAGAGCTGCTGATGCACGCCCATAGTCCTAGGGACTTGGGAGTATGCGATTGGGAGGATCCACATCCAGGCCTGCCTGGGCAGAAGAGTTTTACCTCAGTGGAAGGAAAGTAGGACTGGTTGAAAGAGGATGGGACACAATCCATCCCAGGGGACCACGCAGAGGCAGGCAGGCACAGGAGAAAGATGATTGTAAGGTTTATTAGAGGAGCCATATTTCCCCCAAGAGGGAGCACATGGCCTCTGTCCCCATCCAGGTAGCAGGAGGGTCTGGGGGATAGGAGGTGAGGTGGATGGGAGTTCAGGTGGGTTTTGGGTGGAAAGAAGGAGGGGCCAGCTATGGAGGGAACTCCAGGAATGGGAGGGGGTCCCAGGTCTGGGCGGAGCTGAGGACCAAAGGTGAGCATAACACTTAACAATGATGAGCTGGGCGCTGGTGACTCACCTGTCATCCTAGCTACTCAGGAGGCTGAGATCTGAGGATCCCGGTTCAAAGCCAGCCCAGGCAGGAAAGTCGGTGAGACTCTTTAATAAACCAGCAGAAAACCAGAAGTGGCACTGTGGCTCAAAGGGTAGAGTGCTCACATTGAGCTGAAGAGCTGAGGGACAGCGCCCAGGCCCAGCGTTCAAGTTGTATGACCAGCAAAAAAAAAAAAGAAAGTAGGAATGGTGGCATGTATTTGTTATTTGTTATTCCAGCTGCTGTAGGAAGCATACAATTAGGAGGATCATTGTACAGCCACACACTGGGAGGGAAGTAAGACCCTACCTCAAAAATGACCAGTAACAGGGCTGGGAAGGTGGCTCTGTGGTAGAGTGCTGGCCTCTCATGCATAAGGCTCTGGATTCCATTCCTCAACAGCACATAAGCAGAAAAAAGCCGGAAGTGGCGTTGTGGCTCAAGTGGTAGGACACTAGCCTTGAGCTCAAGAGCTGAGGGACAGAGTTCAATGCCCAGAGTTCAGTCCCACGACTTATAAAACAAAACAAAAAACACAAACCCTCCCCCCACACACAACAGCAACAAAAATAAAACAGTCTAAGCATGGCTCAGTTGGTACATGCCAGTAATTGTCCCCACTCATGAGGCTGTAATCTGCAAAATTGCAGTCCAAAGTGTGGGCAGAAAAACCTAACAGACTCTATCTTCAAAATAATCAGTGAAAAAGCACATCTGGAGGTGTAGCTCCAGTGGTAGAGCACCAGCCAGGCACGCCAACTGAGCACAAGGACCTTTGAATTCTGAGTTCAAACCCCAGAACCAAAACCAAAACAAAACCGAAAAACCCAGAACCAGTAAGATAAATTAATCAGTAAACTGTGAAGAGAAAAAAAGGACTAGAAGCATATCTGAGCTGTAAAGCACCTGCCTAACAAGTGTGAGACCTGAGTTCAAAGAGAGACAGAGAGGCAGATGCATTTCCATTCCTAAGATCTTAAGCCCGTGGATCTGGTCTGGACAGGACTGGGAATTTGTATTTTTGGCAGTACTGGAATTCGGACTCAGAGCCCTGCACTTGCTAAGCAGGTGCTTCCATTTGAGCATACCTCCGGCTCTTTCTGCTTTTGTTATTTTATATTTGGGGCTGGGAATGTGGCTTAGTTGTAGAGTGCTTGCCTTGCATGCATGAAGCCCTAGGTTTGAGTCTTCAGCTTCACAGGAACAGAAAAAGCTGGAAGTGGTGCTGTGGCTCAAGTGGTAGAAGCGCTAGCCTTGAGCTGAAGAGCTGAGGGACAGTGCCCAGGCCCAGAGTTCAAGCCCCATTACCGACAAAAAAAATCAACAAAAAAACCCCCAGCTATTATTTACATGTGGAAGGTTGTTGTTGTTGTTTGTTTTTGTGGATACTGAGACTTGAACTCTGGGCCTGGGTACTTTCCTGAGCTTTTTTTGCTCAAGGTGAGTGCTCTACCACTTGAGCCACAAGGCCATTTTCTGGTGGTTAATTGAAGATAGGAGTCTCATGGACTTTTCTTGCTGGGGCTGGCTTTGAACCACAATCCTCAGATCTCAGCCTCCTGAGTAGCTACAATTGCAGGCGTAAGCCACTGGCGCTTGGCCACTTTCTGCTTTTTTTGAGTAGTTTTTTGATGAAAAGTCTCACAGACACTTTTTTTTCCTGGGCTGGCTTTAAACCATCATCCTCAGATCTCAGCCTCCTCAGTAGCTAGGATTACAGGCATGAGCCACCAGCTCATGGGGAAGTTTTTAAAAAGGGGGTGCTTAGTCATAATTACACCCCTGCTTTGAACTATCTTCAGTCTTTTAGATTCTTTCCCCTGACTACTGGGGATTGAACCCAGGGACTTGCGAGAGCAGCACTCTACTTCTTGAGCTGTAATTCTAGTCCTTTTTTTTTTTGTCTCTCTCTCTCTCTTTTTTTTTTTTTAGTCAGTATTGGAGCTTGAACTCAGGGCCTGGGTGCTGTCCCTGAGCTTTTTCACTTAAGGTTAGTGCTCTAGCCCTTTGGGCCATAGCTACACTTCCAGTTTTCTGGTGGCTAATTAGAGATAAGTGTCTCAAGAGGACTTTACTCCCTAGGTTGGCTTCAAACCTCAATTTTCAGATCGCAGGCTCCTGAGTACAGGCATGAGCCACCAGCCCCTGGCTAGAAGTGGGACTTGAACTCTGTGTCTGGGCGCTGTCCCTCAGCTCTTCAGCTCAAGGCTAGCACTCTACTGCTTGAGCCACAGTGCCACTCCTGACTTTTTTCTGTTTATGTGGTGCTGAGGAATCGAACCCAGGGCCTCATGCATGCGAGGTAAGCACTCTACCACTGAGCCACCTTCCCAGACCCTAGAAGTAGAGATTTTTTTTTTAAAGAGGTGAAGTCTCTTACTTCTGGCTCAGAACCCCAGTGGCAGAAAATGTGGTGAAGTTCTTACTGGTGTGGGGAAGGCATTCCCTGAGGCTCTGAGAGAGAAGTCTTTTGAGGTGAGGTGGCATAGGGCAAAGGGCCAGGTTCCTCACCACCAGGCGGGTCTGCCTCAGTCTCCCCTCACCAGGATGCCACCTTCCTGTACACGGAGCCCCTGGGCCGGGTGCTGGGCATGTGGATCGCAGTGGAGGATGCCACACTGACCAATGGCTGCCTCTGGTTCATCCCTGGCTCCCACACCAGTGAGGACTCTTGTCCCTCCCTCCCACCCGTAGCCCCCAGGAAGAGGGTTTTGGTGAAGAGAGACAGAGGAGCTAATGGGCCATCTTGGCTTACAGAAGGAGTGTCGAGAAGGATGATCCGGGCCCCTGCTGGCTCAGCGCCTGGCACCCGCTTCCTGGGGTCGGAGCCTGCACGGGATGACAGCCTCTTTGTGCCCACACCAGTGCAGAGAGGTAGGCTGGGACATAGAGCATTTGGGAGGCAAATGGCTATGCCCCAAATCTGTGCTCACTCCACTACATGGTTAGGTAAGAGGCTCCCTCGATGCTTCAGGGAGAAAGGCCAGGTGCTGGCTGCTCACCCCCCCATTGTCATCCTAGCTATGCGAATTAATTATCTCTAATCTCCAAAAAGACCGAAGTCTAACCGTGGCTCGTCTAGTAGTGTGCTAGAGAAAGCGCAGGTTCAGCACCCAGATCCTGAGTTTAAGCCCCAAGATTGGCACGCGCGCACGTGTGCGCGCGCGCACACCCCCCCCCAAAATAAGGTGGGGCCAGGTGCTGGTGGCTCACACCTGTTCAGGAGGCTGAGATGTGTGGATCGAGGTTCAAAGCCAACCCAGGCAGGAAAGTGTGAGACTCATATCTCCAATTAACCACCAGAAAACCTGAAGTGGCGCTGTGGCTCAACTGGTAGAGTGCTAGCCTTGAGCTGAAGAGCTAAGGGACAGTGCCCAGGCCCAGAGTTGAGTCCCCACGACTGATAAAAAAGAGAAAAATAGATAAATAAAAATAAATGTGGGGCTGATGGAGCACTCAGAGCTCAGGAGCCAGTGAGGTTACCAGCAAATCCTCCCAGATCAAGCAGGGCTACAGTACAGAGAGGCCTTTTGTTGTTGTTGGTGGTGGTTATTAGGTCTTAAACTCAAGGCCTCAGGCTCTCATTAGGCTTTTCCTTGTATTGCCACACTCAAGGCTAACACTCTCCTATTTTAGCCATATCTCTACTTCCGACTTTTTTTGTTGTTGTTATTGGTCATGGGGCTTGAACTAGGGCCTGGGTGCTGTCCCTGAGCTTTTTTCTCAAGGCTAGGGCTCTCTACCACTTTGAGTCACCATGCACTTCTGGTTTTCTGGCGGTTCATTGGAGATAAGAGTCTCATGGATTTTCCTGCCCTGGCTGGCTCTGAACCATGATCCTGATATCTCAGCCTCCTGAGTAGCTAGGATGACAGGCAAGGCATGAGTCACTAGTGCCTGGTAAGTAGTAGAGGGGACTCGATCCCAGGGAAACCCTGACCAAAACAGCACAGCCTCAGACCCTGGAGCAGGCCTCAGGCTCCAGAACCTCCAGAGGTGGGATTGAACACCGGTAGAGGGCAAACGCCCTACCTACTCTGGAAGGAGGGTGGCTGGGCCTTAGGGCTGGTGCCTTCCTGATTGCCTCCAATCTCTACCAGGGGCCCTGGTCCTGATTCACGGGGAAGTGGTTCACAAGAGTGAGCAGAACCTCTCTGCCTGCTCTCGCCAGGCCTACACATTCCACCTCATGGAGGCCGCAGGCACGGTCTGGAGCCCAGAGAACTGGTAGGTGGCAGGGCAAGATGTCTCTGAAGAAGGCTTGGGAACTGGAGCAGTGATGTGGGCTTCTCCATTCTCTGCAGGCTCCAGCCCACAGCTGACCTGGCCTTTCCTCCACTTTATACCTGATGGCCTTCAAGGGCTGGACCAGCCCCTCTTCTGTGAAGCCACGCCCCCAAAGGCTGCACCATTCCCCGCCCCCCAGCCATGCCCCACAGCAATGTAGCCAGCAAGTGAGAGGCCCAAGAGACTGGACAGCAGCCCCTGTTGGGTGGCTGGAGCTTCCCCAAGATACTGGTCTCCCTGCCACTCTTCTGCCCAACACAGCCTCCTCCTTGAAGTGGATTTTCAGATGTAAAACGGTTCTGGTCCATTCTCTTCTCTTGGGTAGAACTATGGCCATGATAGATAGAATGCTGAATAAAAACAAGTTTCCACTGTAGCAGCTTCTTCATCCATTCTCCTTTCCCAAGAAACCTGTTCTACGGATAGAACCCACTAAGACCCATCCCAAGCCAGGTGCTGGTTGTTCACAACTGTTAGCTTCTAGGAGGCTGAGATCTGAGGAACAAGGTTTGAACCCAGCCAGGGTAGGAAAGTCTGTGAGACTCTTATCTCCAGTTAATCACAGAAAAAAGCCGGAAGTGGCACTGTGGCTCAAGCGGTAGAGTGCCAGCCTTGTATCAGCACTAACTAATGTAAGTGAACACTAATCTGGGCACTAATCGTGGACACTCTTCATGAGCTTTAGCAGCTTCATCTCACTTAATCCTCACAGGGTGTTTACAGATAAAGATTCTGAACAAAGGAAAGTAGGAGGGTGCCTGTGGCTCACACCTGTAACCCTAGCTACACCGGAGGCTGAGATCTGAGGGAGGAGGGGGGGTTTGAAGCCAGCTGAAGCAGAAAAGTCTCTAAGACTTTTTTTTTTTTTTTCATTGGTAGGGGTTTGGACTCAGGGCCAGAGCACTGTCCCTGAGTTCTTTTGCTCAAGGCTAGTGCTCTACCACTTGAGCCAAAGCACCACTTCCAGTTTTCTGGTAGTTTATTGGAGATAAGAGTCTCATGGACTTTTCCTGCCCAGGCTGGTTTTGAACTGTGATCCTCAGATCTCAGCCTCCTGAGTAGCTAGGATTACAGGCATGAGCCACTGGTGCCCAACAAGATTCTTATCTCTAATAAACTACTCAGAAAAAGCTGGAAGTGGCTCTTTGGCTCAAGTGATAGAGCACTGGCCTTGAGCGAAAAACATCTCAGGGACAGCATCTGGGCCCTGAGTTCAAGCCTGATGATTGACAATAAACAAACAAACAAATGAATAAATCTTTATCACTAACTGCAACCAGGGACAGCACAATGATGGGATACCTGGCCGAAGAACTGAGAAAGGAGAGGAAAGGGCGCACCAGGGATATAGTGCTCATCGGCTTCCATACCCCAAGTTCCTGTAACAAGCTTATTTATTTAGTTCAGTGCAGGGAGGTGACTCTAGGTAAGTGCAGGGACTATGCTATCAATCCACTTTTGGGCCAGAGGTGAGCTGAGTCCTTGCCCTGGGTTTAGTCTCCATTAACACAATGAAACAACCAGAAACTTCAAAGTGGAGACATTTCACATGCTAATCCAGGTTTCTATTTTTCTTTTTTTTTTTGGGGGGGGGTCTGGTTGTGGGGCCTGAACTCTGGGCCTGGGCGCTGTCCCTTAGCTCTTCAGCTCAAGGCTAGCACTCTTCCACTTGAGCCACAGCGCCACTTCCAGCTTTTTTCTTATGTGGTGCTGAGGAATCGAACCCAGGGCCTCGTGCATGCAAGGCAAGTACTCTACCACAGCCACCTTCCCAGTCCTTTCTAAGCTTTTTTTTTTTTTTTT